GTATACATAAAAAATAAACAAATGAATGAATTAAAAAATAAGACTTGAACAATGACTATCAATGGAATTGTTAATGCAAAGAAGCAAAGAATCTAACTCTCACAGGCCCCACTACCACACAAGGAACTATAGGCAACTAATGAATGCAGAGAGTGGAGGAACCAACCAGCTGCTCCCAGGATTGGCCCCTGATTGGTTATCCAATACAAAGTGGTCAGCCCTGAAGCCGCGTACACATAAACGAAAATGGACACAAGGCAGTGTTTGAGAGTGAGCTGGGGATGGCAGGCACTAGAGGCAAGAAAGAGATGGAGAAGTGGCATAATTTATTTTAATTAAAAGGTAAAAAAATAATTAAGAAATTAATGTTTTTAAGAATGAAAAGAAAGCAGGCTGTGGGGAGCAAGCCAGTAAGCAGCATTCCTCCATGACCTGTGTTTCACAAAAACAAACCAAAAGAGAAAGAACAAAGTAATGTCATTTGTAGGAAAATCGATACAACTGGAGATAATTTTATCAAGCTAATTAATTCTCAGAAAGACAGACATTTCATGTTTTTTCTTACTTGTGGGTCCTAGATTTTACATATGTATATTTTATATATGCATATTTATATAAACAGGCGAAAAATAAAAGAAAAAAGTCTAGGATAGCTGTCCTTAGGTTACTTTTGCTTTGATAAAACATGACCAAAAATAACTTGGGGAAGAAAGAGTTTATTTTGCTTACACTTCCACATCACAGTTCATCATTGAAAAAAGTCAGGACAGGATCTCAATCAGGGCAGGAACCTGGAGGCAACAGCCAATGCAGAGACTATGGAGGGATACTGCTTATTGACTTGTTCCTCATAGCTTACTCAGCCTTCTTTGTTCTAAAACCCAGGACCACCAGCCAAGGGATGGCACCACCCACAGTGGGCGGACCCTCCCCCATCAATCACTAATTAAGAAAATACTCCACTGCAGCATGATCTTCAGAAGGCATTTCTCTATCAAGGCTTCTTCCTCTGAGTCTATGACTTGTGTCAAGTCAACATGAAACTAGCCATCCCAATAACAAAGGGACTAACAAGAGGAAGGAACAGCCAGAAAAGAGAGGTTAGCAGAGTGTAAGGTACTGACCAAAATCCCTTATACACTTTCTAGAAAATGCCCTTTGCGTGCAATGATTATTAAGAAAGTATTGTTAAATAAAATTCTGTTTGCGAGTTATAAAGTAAACATGAATTTCAAGCATGAAAATGATTCTGAAAGCTCATAACCTGTACTTGCATAGCCTGGTGGTTGTCCAAGATGGCCACTCTTGCCTATTGTCCATTTGAAATTCAGTCTGGTGTCCAGGTTTGGATCAATTATTAAGACTTCCCATAAGACCTTTCCTGTTTGTCATAGTAAGACAATAGACAGAACAATGAGGAAGCCCTTGTAGTGTCCCAGGAGGAGACCTGATTTACATAGTTTTATCACCATTAAGGAAGATGCTACACATGGGAAAGTGGACTGTGCACGGGACCCGAAGCTGGCCACACACAATAGTAATACATAAAATCTTTTGGTATGTGTAGGCTCTCAGGTCCTCTGCCCTTGGTTCATTTGATTTGCTAAGCATTGCTTATAAGCTCTGTGTGCTGGCCCTTTGTCAGAGCTCTTGCTCCCTGTTGCCTAGTCAACTGTTTCTTTCATGCCCTGATGCCTTGAAGCCTGTCAACATTCCTCTGGCATTACCTGTTTAAATCACTGAGGATTTTGTCTAATAGGTGGGCATTAAGGTCATGTGGGCTTTTGCTAATGTATAGCAAGGGCAAGGGTACCCTCTGCTTGAGTTGCTCACCTTGCATTCTGAAAAACCTCTTCAAGGAACAGTTTGTACATTTCTGTTCATGTAAAGGAGGAGCTTTTGGGCACCTTGTTCTCTGTTGCTGGTTTGTAGAGCTATTTATAACTTTTGTTCTTTGCTGTTTTTTTCTGTGCCTGTGAATTGTAAGGTGCCAGACTGGCTGCCCTTGAGGCTGGTGTCCCTAATTTATCCCAAGAACAGGAAAAATACAGGGGGTAACAGAACTGGTCATGTCTGGGTCCAGCACATTAGCCTGACCTACTCTGGAAGAAGATTCCCCAGACATAAAGAGCGAATTGTTTCTGGGAATGCAGGCCATCTGCTTTTGTGGCGAGCAGACCTTGTGCCATCACCAAGCAATATAGTGTTTTGCATCCAGTAAGCAACAGACATTCATCCTTTCTTTGGGGGGAAAAAACTGCAGTGTTTTTCTGCCTTTCTCCTCTACCTGTCAACATTCCATTCTTTAAGGTCAGATTCAATTGCCTATTTCCTCAGGAAACTCTTACAGGGCATTCTTGGATGTGGTTTCCCTTGCATACTTCCATAGCATTTTTTCTTGCAGTGTGCTGCACTTGTTGTCATGGTCTGCTGGACATAGGATGTTTCATAATCACTGTGGGAAGCACTGATGGTGACTAGTCCACTTCTTTGTGTCACACAAAAGCAGACTGTAATAGTGGAGAAAGGGCAGACCCTTGGAGTGTCTGCTAAGTAGATTGAAAACCAAAACTTTCTTTCCGGAGCAGGCTTTTCCTGTAAGCTAGTGATTAAAGTTGTTCCCGACCCAGGGTAACTGTCCAGCTCTGCAGATAGGCTCAGGCACTTTATTATGTATACTGTACTTTGAGCTTTCATGGTCAAGACCCATGCAGCTACTTCTGCTGCCGAGCCAGCCACCATAACCATTACATGATCCCATCTTTATTTTGGAAAAGTATGCTTCTTAGAGCCTATGTACTATTCAGCATCCTATTTGGCTTATAGAGCGGGAAAAGTTAATATAGAAAAAAAGTGTATTGACTTATTTAATTTATATTATAAAATTATACTTCTCATGGGAATTCAGTGGGTTCTTAATAATTATCACATGGATTGAGCTATTTGCCCCACCCACCCTCTTTATGGTTTCTACAATGAAATGTCATTTGTTGACATGAAAGTCTTAAAGGTATAACATCAGTTTTCAAACAGAGCATACTTAGTTTTATAGTAAAGCATTAAAGTTTGGAGAAGGAATGTTGTTTTCAGCATAATCACAAAATGATGCCAAATGAAAAATTAATTTTCTTACTATAAGCAGAAAAAGTACATGAGTTTAAAGAATCTTTTCTAATTCTATGTCTAATACTAAAATATAAGTGTAAGGTAACTCTTGGATAGAAATATATTAAAAACAACTATAAACTATATTACAAATATCATAATTGTAATATTAAAGCTACACCACTGAAATTTCACAATAATATACCTGGAGTAGAGGCAGTCCATTTTTTTTAAGGCTTGAGCTCTTCCCAATATTTGATTGATCATACTTCAAGTTTCTTTGTTCGTTTTCTTAAAGATGTGCTCCAATCCTGGAACAGAATACAAAGGAAGACTTCTAGGATCAAATGTAACCAGAGAGAAATATATTTACCTCTTCTGACTGAAACATTTACCCCTCCCAGTTTTGAGTGTGAAGTGGCTGTCAGTCCTTGTGATGGGGTGCTGAAAGCCTCCTTCAGTGAGAAGTCACTCCATAATGCTCCGTAATGCCAGTAATGCAAGGATGTTCGTACTGAGCTCAAAACAGGCAATGCAGCCGTAAGTTTGGAGTAGACACTACTCAAGCAAGGCTCCCTGAGCATGAAGTTGGTTAAACATTTTCTGAACTTTCCTTATCTTTAGAGTAAGAATAATATTAGTATGTCCATGTAGAGTAACATGAATAGGAAATGAGTTGATACAAGAATTCCAGGAAAATGTCAGCCATCCACAAAGCTAGATCTACGATTTTTGTGTAAAAGTCTGCAGGTGCTTGTCAATATTCCCAGTTGCCTATGGCTTCCTAGTTGGGTGTTGTTTCTGCCTAGCAGACATGAACTGAAGGGAGTGAAGGTGGCTGTGGCCCTCAAAATCCCAAGGTATTGAGATACAGAGCCTCTCGCTCAAAATAATGCCACCCACCCCCTTCTTTACTTTTTTTTTTTCCTTCTGGTCCTGTTGTTTGAACTCATGGTTTTAGTGTATTTTAAGCAAATGTATTATCATTGAACTACACGTGGTCCTAAAAATTTCATCCTAAATTATATTCTATGGCCATTTAAAAACTAACGTGCTTTAAAATAAAACCGGATGTACATATGTGTTTGTCAGCTGTCTCAATCAATTTAAGATGCTGTGGCTTTTAAGAACACTGAGCAAACAATGAGATCTAGGGCCTCAAAGAATTCCCAACCCTATATTAAGTGGACATAATTAAATGATGTTCAAACTAAGACAGAGTGGCGATGCTGACTGAACTCTAGTATCTTAGTTGAGGCACAGGGCATGAGATGAGACTTGCTTCGTGAGTGTCATAAGTCAGAACTAGAATCACAGGGAGCAGTCAGTGTGAGGCTTCATTAGTGACTCCACAGAAGGAAACCTAGCAGTCTCGGTGCTCTAGAGCTTGAGGTGGGTACCTACCACATGATCTGACCATCACTGAGGGCCAGCTACAGAGAATTGACAGCCAGGACTTGAAAAGGGAAATGAAGCACATACACGAACTGATGGGCAGACTCTCCAGAGACAGAGACTTGCCAGAAATGTTCTATTCAGTAGATTGCCCTTTTATCCCATCTTCCTGAATCCTGTACCTACCAAGTATGTGATTAGAGACAGTACCAGACCCAGTATCAAGCATGAGTTTTCCTCCATCACTCTCCTAGGAACCTTAGCTATCTGCTCAATTGACTTAGGCAGATTCCTGCTATGCTCAAAGGAGACCATGGTGGGCTTGCTAGTTAGTGAAGTAATGGCAGTAAAGACCAGGGTCTTTACTTGCTAGTTAATGTAGTAATGGCAATCCTGCTGTGTCTCTAGCTGTTACAGGATGAACCTGCTATCTCCCTCCTCTTGACTTCTTTGGGATGATCTAGGAGTTCCTTTGTAACAAGCAACCTCTTATCTTCCAGGCCGCTGTGCTCGCTGTGGGGAAAATGTGGTTGGAGAAGGGACTGGATGCACCGCCATGGATCAAGTCTTCCATGTGGATTGTTTCACCTGCATTGTCTGTAACAACAAACTCCGAGGACAGCCTTTCTATGCCGTGGAGAAGAAGGCATACTGTGAGCCCTGCTACATTGTAAGTCTCCACATTGTCTCTAACCAAATGCCAGTCACTCCACATAAATGTCACCATCAGTTCTTTGAACTTCAAGAGATTTGTACATATGTAAATCATTATACTGTATTTTTTTTCTATACAATTAGTGTTATATGAGGTCAGAAAATTGTATTGGAAGAGGACTGCCCTTCAATTAGAGGCCTGCCAGAAAGGTTGTCTGAACTGTGGTTTTCAGTGTACATGTAGAAACAATATGTTCTCTGTGATATGTACAGAGGTAGGGTTCCTCGTTAGCAGAGTCCTAACGCTCTTTTCAATCTCATCCTGCATTTGAAGTCCCACTACTGTGGGGAAGACTTAGAAGACGCCTGAATTTGTCAGTGGTCTTCCAAACTTCTGGACTAATTATCTCTGCAGAATCACTTTTACCTTCCCTTTCCCCCAGGTTGTCTGAATGTAGAGAAACACTTTGTTAAAGAGTACCTTGAGGTAGTAATGGTTTTCTGTTTTAAAAAAACAAAGCTGTTTTTGAATAGCATAGCTTAGTGACTAAAAATAAGTCACATTTTCTTAGTGTTTTACATGGCTACTTAATCTGCTTAGCTACCATCTGATAAGAGTAGTGTGATGAATAAGAAAACTATTTCCTGTCCAAATTAAATTCCTTTGCTATCTTTCTGGTTATGATCTATCTTCGGAACACATTCTTGAAAAAAGTAGTACCTTTTTCAAACCTATGGCATAGTCATGGTTCCTCTGCCAAGGCATTCCAATAGCAAAGAAACCTTAGGGATTCAGAAATTTGCAGATCTCTAGAGTCAGTTATTGACATTTCTGCCTGGGTTGGTGTCTTGATTAGGGTTACTATTGCTGTGGTGAAACACCCTGACTAAAAGCAACTTGGGGAGGAAAGGGTTTATTTCAGTTATATTTCCAGGTAGCAGTCCATCACTGAGGGGAGTCAGGGCAGGAACATGGAAACAGGAGCTGATTCGGAAGTAGTGCTGCTTGCTGGCTTGCTCCACATGGCTCACTCAGCCTGCTTTCTTATACAACCAGAACCACCAGCACAGGATAGGCCCACCCACAGTAGAATGGGTCCTCCCCCATCAATCAGTAAAAAGAAAACACCCTACAGGCTTGCCTACAGCCCAGTCTTATGGATGTGTTTTTTTAATTGAGGTCACCTCTTCAGTGACTCTAGCTTATATCAAGTTGAGATAAAACTAGCCAGCACAGTTGGTAACATAGCCTGGAAAATTGAGCTTATTGAAATACAAGGGTATATAGCCCAGAGCTCAGTTTTCCACAACTGAGGTTTTATATATTTATATAATACTGCTTCCTACCTCTTAGGTTCGATTTTGTGTTCTTTCTAGGAGCAACTTAAACCCATGTAGCATCATTGTAATGTCATCAGCTAATAGACCTGGGAGGAAAAGAGGGGAAAAAAAAAGAAAAACCATTTTAAGGTCACTTGCCTAGCTGCTGTCTTTAGAAGTTAGACTAGAAAGAGATACAGGAGAAAGGTGACTTCTGCTTACCATTGGACACAGAGCCAGGCCAGCATAGTCACATGTCCTCCTAGTCCTGTGATTTGGGCAGTACTGATTGTATTTAGTTATTCAAACTGTAGATGCCCTGTTGTTCTGGAAGCAGCATCGTCCACATAAGGTAGCATCTGGTCTGCAAAATTCACCTCTTAGGTCATTCAGCTCAAGTACCACCCTTTGAAATCTTTGTTGAAAAGAAGAAGGCCTCTTATAAGTCTGACCTCTTTTAAGTGTGCTGTACTTTCTAATGACTTGGGACACTGTTGTGAAACTGCTTTTATTGCTGCAAGCTTTGGCAGCCACATCAGCAAGCCCTGTAGAGTCATCTAGCACTCTTCTTACAAGGAGCAGTTACTTTTTTATAGCTCCTGTTTAGTCCCTTTTTGAGTGTCTCTGACTGTTGCTATTGCAACAATGCTTTTGTGGAAGGCTTCTTCAGCTGTTTATTTTTATGCTTTCTAAGCAACAGTCTTACATGAAATCCTAAGAAACCATGTAACAGTATGGCAGAGAACAAGAGTTTGAGTTGGATTCAGTCTTAACTTGGACAAGTTACCTTGATCTTTCTAAGCCTCGGTATTCTAGCCTATATAATGGAAATGATGACACTCTTTTTCCATAATACTCCTGAAGCAGTCTTTGTAAGCACCCTTGGTCTACTCAGGAAAAGCTATTGAACAAAAATTACATTTGAGCTTAATTATGATTAGATTTCAGGACTTACTTAACATTCATGATGTATACAGTGAGACTAAAACACACTTGGCTCTAGGAAGCTGTTTCCTTCTTGGATATACCCATCTTTCTTTTCTTTACCCCTTGATGTTTACTCTCCTGGATGAGTAACAAGGCTTCAATTCCATGTTTTTAATCGTCTTCTGTAGTGTGTAGTGTAGAATGCAGACTGTTTTGCAAGGATAAGATATCTGAGATGATTTAGGATGCTGGAACTCTGCTCAGATTTGTTTTGGTGTGATATTGTAGCATTCTTCACACATATTTTGCTTGTTTTCTGTTTATTAACCCAATATGAATATGTGTACAATGTGCCTCTGTAGTGATCTTTACTTTTAGCATCTAACCTGTTTGGGTTTACATTAAATTTATGAACTACATGTTAAAGCCACATATTATTTCCCAGTCCTTTGTCATTGCGATATGCTTAAAGAATATTGAGTGAGATATTTATATCATTCAAGTTACTTAGAATGTCTTTTTTTAATTTAGATTATCAACTCAAATGTGATGTAATACTGCGGGCATTGGCTTTATCTTCCTGCAATCCTTAGTTTTGACCTAAAACTTATGACCTAGGTCAGAGAGCTGTAGTGCCTCAGCTTTGTAGGTGCTAGGATATGCCACCACACCTATCACCTTAAAGTTTTTCTTTAGAAAACTGTTTCTATTTGATAAGACCTTTACAAGCAGTGAGTTCATATATTAAACCATATGCTATTTCCTGTTAGATAGATTTATTTATATTCATTAGAGTCAACATAATAAGTACACTACATCCTAGTTATTTTTATTGATGCTAGTATTGTCAGTAGTAAAGTCAATAGATCTTACAAATGATTAGTTTCGATAATTCTTGTAGTTTTGAATAAGTTAAACAGATTAGAATTAAGAACACTAAACTTTATTAGGAAGTAAAATGATTTAAATAGAAATTATCTATCTGTCTTGGTCCTAGCTCTCTGATTATATCATTGGGTACATCATTTACCTTCCTAGTACCAGAGTGCTCTTTTTTGTGAAGTTAGATATTAATTCCTTTATGTCTTATATAAGGAATGAGCAAGTGTGTTACTTTTTTGTATCATGAAACTATTGACTATAAAAGGGATAGATCTGATGAGTGACCATATCATTGTAATATGACAGAGAAGCTGTAGCACACAATGGGGCATGTCTTAGCTGCTGTTGCTATAGAAATGTTGAAATTGATTGACTTCATAGGAGAAACATAAGGGTACATGAGAAGATCAGTGCTTTGCTTACAGCCATTTGTGTCTTTAGGTATGAAGGGCATCAACAAGGCCTCCTGCTTGTTTGGCCTTCTGCTCTTCTGAGACCGCCTTACTCTTGAGCATAAGTGTAGCAAAGGAACAGTTGCTTTCTTTGTAGCATTGCCCAAGAGTCTGGGCCTATGAACACACACAGCAGAAATGCTCAGCCAAAGTCTTCTTATGAAATGGTGATCTCAGGGCTTTGTGCAGAGTGACTGGAAAGGTGGGACAGGCGTTTTTATTAGAGTTGAAATCCTAGTGGTGAGAAAGACCTCTGGAAGTAGCAAGCCAGTCTCCTGGGAGACTAACTTGAAGGTACCAGATCCTGGCACATTAATGACCTCCACATTAGCAGCCTTTTGCTCTCTCATGCCACTAAATTGCTAAGTTAAAGTCGTGTAAACTTTCAACTCCATCCAGAGGTAGCTTTTGTAGCTCTGCAGGAAAGCTTGTTTTCTTATATACTTGAGTTCCTCCTAATGGAATGTTTTAAAAGCAGTTAGAACTAAGGTCTTATGTGGGCGTTGGAAAAGGAACCAGAGTTGGGACGGAATCTGAAAAATGCACATGAACATCCCTTTTCCTTAATCGCCCACCTCTGCTCTCATCACCATGATGCGTCTCCTTCTGCCTCTCTTCATCTCTGACTGCACATGCCACCTACACACTTAAACACATTCATTCCTGGTGTCTTATTGTCACGCCGCTAGCATTCTCCAATAATAAGAAAAATGGTTCAAGAATGAGAGGTTTTTAAAACCCTCTCTTGTGAAGTTTGACCACAGGAACTCTGGGTGTTATATTCCCCATTCCTGAGCTTCTGTTATGGCATGTCAGGCCAGGGAAGATTATTAAACTCTATTACAAATGAGGCTTTGATGTGACCAAAGTAAAAGATAAAGTGAAGGCCAGAAAGCATTCTGACCTGGTTTGTATTTGCAAGGTCCATGCTACCACCATGAAAACTGACATTCACCTTCCTGAAAACACAGGAGTATGAGCAGCCATTGGCTACCCACTTTAAAGTCATGAAAGCCTTCTGTTCTCAAGGTATAATTGATAACCACTGGCCCAAGTTGTGCCATCCAGTGTTACAGATTACAGGGATAAAGATATGATCCCCGGTCTTTCCTTGAGTGTTCTCAAATCTCTTTTCTCATGATCCCAGGAATCTCAATATAAAAAAATGCTTTTGTGCTTATAGTTAAATTTAGTTATAAATAAATATAGTTAGGTGACAAATAGCATCTTCCCAACAGTATACTTCTGCTTTTTAGTATTTTCATTTTGTCTATTGTCTTCAACAGAGCCTTGGAGATAGCTCTAGTTGCTTTTACTGTCATTTCCAGTAGCAAGAACCTGAGGCTCAAACTCATATAAACTCACAGACACCGAAGCAGCATATACGGGGCCTGCATGGGTCTGCACTGGGTCCTCTGTACTGATAGTATGACGT